CTGCTCCAGCGCCGCAGCCTGGAGCGGCAGCGGGGCCAGACCGGCCCCGGTCCCGGTCCCGGGGGGAGAGCGACCCCGACCCCGGGGCGGCGCGGCGGGAGGGCGGGCGGCGGCGGCGGCGACCTGCGCGCCCTGCTGAAGATATCGCTGCTCAACGACCGGCACCGCTACGACGACGAGGAGTACGAGGAGGAGGAGGAGGGGGGCGCGGCGGCGGGGGCGGCGGTGGACGAGGGGCTGGTGCGAAAATGCACGGAGTGGCTGCGAGGGGTGGAGAGCGCGGCCGGGCGCGACCGCACCGACCGGCTGGAGACGCTCCCGCACCTCGGCACCCTCTGAGCCGCCGCGGGGGCGGACCGGCCCCCTCCGCTCCCCCTGGCTGCCCTGCCGTCCGTCCGCCGCGGTGCCGGGGCAGCCCCAGCGGGTGAGGGGGGGGCGGCGGCCCCGCAACCAGCCCCCGGGGCGAGGGACAAAGGAGCGGCGCCGGTCTCCGCCCGCCCACCGGGTGCTGGGGGTGAGAGGAGCCGGCTGTGGGCGTGCGCTCTCCTCCGCCGCTTGTTTGGGTTTGTTTTGTTTTTTTAAGACTTGCGACTACTTTGTAAGACGTGCGTAACGATTTTGTATATTTGTACATAAAAGTTCATTTTTATTTATTTGAATAAATGACTCAACTTTCGTGGTGCAATCGCCTTCAGCGCCTTAGTAGCTTCGGGCCGGGCTACTCCTCGCCGGGGGTGGGTATGGGCTGTCTCTAGGTGTCCCCAAGGCAGGACTGGCGGGCGGGCACAGCCCGGAGAGAGCGTGCGGTACAAATGTTTACGGGTTTGGGCTGGCTGGTGCTACAGCCGCCCGCGGCTCGGCTCCAGACAAAACCCCCGGGCCGCTGGAGCCGGAGGATGCGCAGCGCCGGGGGCTGAGCCAACCGAAGGGGAACCGGTGGTGCGGGCGGCGGGATAACGGGCAGATGGCGGCGGGGAGCAGCCCTGGCGGGGGGAGCCCCGGACAATGGGAGGATGGGGGCGGGCGGAGGCTGCTCCGCTCCATTGCGCCCCGGGGCCGCGGCTGCGCCGGTGAACGGGAGAGGAGAGGCTGGGTCTGTGGGGGGAGTGGGTGATCCCCCTCCCTCCCCCGCAAGCCCCCGGGCTGTAATTCACACACATCCGACCTTTCGAGCCGTACAAAGCGTACGAGGTGGAGGAGGGCGGGAGGAAGGAAGGGAGGGAGGAAGGCAGCAGCATCCTTTGTCGGCGGGTCCCCGGCCCCCCGCCCCCGGTACGCGCTGCAGCCCCCCCCCGCTCCGGGCTGTGGCCGTACCTGGTGCTCACCAGAGCTCCGTGTTGGGAGAGGCGAGGAGGGGGCGGGAAAGGCTAAATGTGTGCAAAAATTGCTGGTGGAAAGGAAAAGGTAAGTCTTAACAGGCTTAGGGTTGTTGTCTCGGCCACTTACTGCTGTTATCCAGCTTCTCAGAGCAAAACAATTACTAAATATTTACTGTGGAATGGTAAACATTTAGCAAATGAACGTTTGAGCGTGTAGGAACATGAAGTTGAATTTACCCAGCAGAGTAAAACAGTTTAGTGCCACAAATTGAGAATTATACGATTCATGTAGATGTCTGTTGTTTACACCAAATGATGTCTGTGTTGACTGTTCTGTCAAGCCATGGGGAGATAAACCTTTCTATAGACTAGTTGCATAATGTAGTGATGGGCTTTTTTTTTTTTTTCATTTTTTCCCTTGAAACTTCAGCAGTGACAGGGGACATGCTTTGAGAAAATATTTATTTATTAAATGCATTGATACAGGCATTGAAAAAATCACATACCCGTCTAATACAGATGTAAAATAGCAATGCTCAAAGGCCAGAGAGAAAAGCATGGAGAATGGAGCATGACAGCATGAGAATGTATGGACAGTAATTTTATTTCATTAAAAAAAAGCGCAATTGTAGAGAGTCATTTGTAGTGCTAGCTATGAAACACATGCAGATTCATATAATTTTAACTGAGTTTGCATGTTCTCCTGAATTCATGAATTTTCAGTAACATCGTCAAGCAAATCGGCCTTAACAATTGCAAATTTCCTGCCAGATTTAATTTATGCTGCATTGATATCAGACCCACTTTGGTGTTTCCCTTTTCCCCCAGCAATGAGGAAAAGAGTAGTAGTTGAGCTGTAGCTGAGTTCTTCTCTTGTGTCTCTTTTGGGGATGAGTGTTTATAAATGAGCATCCTGGACTCTCAAAAATGTTCCTCAAAACTGCTCCATGCTTTCACAGTGACTATAATCAGTATCTCCAATTGCAACAAAAAGTGATTCACTCATTAAGGGCTGAGGGATCATAAAGCTTACTTGTGAGGCTGAAAGCTGCTTTGTTCAGAGTCTGAAGTGCGGCAGAAAATTCAATAAATTTGAATGCATAACAGCAGCAAATACAACATGACTTGGGGAAAAAAGAAAAAAACTTGAAGGGGACTGCCAAGCCTGACAAAAAAGAAACCTGCCCAAAGTACACTAGAGAGAAGAATATTAGAACTCAGGAACTGCCTGGATAGATCTTTTTTCTAAAGAATTAATTTGAACAAAGCTACCCAGAGATCATGCAGCTACGATCTTTTGTGTTAGATAAGTCCTTGTCCATGGTAATTGGAAATGGGCCTGAGATGGGCTCATCCTGAGACAATGATACGCAGTCCTGATTTTGGGCTGGGTGTTAAGAGCCACCGGGGTCTCTGGAGTCTGCTCAGAACCCGTACCTCCTTCACTGAACATTAACACCAAGATTTATTGGTTTCAGTATTCGCTATCCTTTCTGCTGTCTTTTAGCAATAAATGATGACCCTAGTGTTCTGAATACTTAAATCTGAAATGCTTATAAATCTTACAAGTGATATTAGAAAAGACAGAGGAAGTTCCTTCCTACATACTAACAGTAACTTCTGTTAATTTTGCATGTAGCTTGCCTCTCTATAAAAAGAAAACCGATGGGTTCTAGTATCTAAAAATTGTAGGTAAATTAAACATAATCAAACTGCTTATTTACTGTATTAATATGTGGTATAATACATGTTTGAGCACAGTGGCAGGGTTCAACAGACAAAAATGCTGGTGGAGATTCAGGCATCAGTGAAAACCCTCAAATAAGTTATTGCATTTGTCTTACATAATTAGAACCATTCTTCTGTACTAGTGAACAGATTAGATGTGTTCAGGAATACTTTTCAGGTGGCGTAGATGCTTTTGCCATAAGAACCAACAAGCAGCCTGGAAGTCACTACATTTGCTTTTTACAGTATATTAGTTGTTTTCAAAGTGCCTCAGCCTCAGCCTCCCACCCATAACCCTTTTAGCTGCTGAAAGGGAGTTATGAGCAGCTGGTGCCGTGGGTGCTTAAAATAATCGATACTTGCTGCAGGGTAGATAGCTTCCCTTCTTCCTCCAAACACATCAGTATCATTTACAGTGGGAAAAGAAAAAAAAAAAAACACCCCACCACATATTCTCTCTCTCTTTTTTTTTTTTTTTTTTTTAATGTAGCTAATACTGGTGTCGGCTTTACTGCTCTTTCTGAGCAAGCCTGGAGAAGCCAGGCAGGGGTGAAGCCCATGTTTCTCTAACTGAACAGTCCCAGCCCTGTGCATCGCTGGGTTTGCTCTCGGGTTCCAGCCCAAATCTCAACTCCCCCACCATGATTAGCGTCATCCTTCCTCTCCAGGTTGAGGGGAGAGCATGTTGTGGCCCAGCTTCTCCGCTCTTTCACGCACCAGGACACTCTCACAGGCCAGACAGGTGGTATTCCTGGCGAGCTGCTGTCACACAGCCCCACCACAGATGGCTGGCGGGCAGCATCGGGGGTGTCTGGCGGGGTAGTGTCTGTCTGTCTGTCTGTCTGTCATGGGCAGGAACTCACCTCTCACCTTCCAGCTGAGGAGCCATGCCTTTGTCTTCGCGGGTTGTTTTTGTGAGGTCCTTCAAGGCACCTTCTGTTTCCTCTCTTAAGAAAAGCCTCTCCTAAGAGGTGGTTTTGTAAAGAGAGGAAGGGCTTTTGTGAAGGTTTGGTGCTTTGATACTGCCTGAAAGAGACATCAGCGTTTTGTCCTGCCTGGTTCCAGCAGCCTGCGAGCTCCCAGCCACATCAGGGGCGAGCGTGGAGGGATGCTGCTCTCCTGCCCTTCCTGCTCCGCTCAGGCAGCACCCCTGCTACTGCTCTCAGTACCTGGCCTCCAGGACAGACACGGAATTATAGACTCTTCTAGGTTGGGAGGGACCTTTAAGATCATTCGGTCCAACCATTAATCCAGCACTGCCAAAACCATCACTAAACCGTGTCCCTCAGCACCAATCTACATGTCTTTTAACTACCTCCAGGGACGGGGACTCCACCACTTCCTTGGGCAGCCTGTTCCAATGTTTGATAACCCTTTTGGTGAAGAAATTTTTCCTAATATCCATCCTAAACCTCTCCTTGAGATCATTTCCTCTTGTCCTATTGCCTGTTACCTGGGAGAAGAGATTGACCCCCACCTCACTACAGCCTCCTTTCAGGTAGTTGTAGAGAGGGATAAGGTCTCCCCTCAGCCTCCTTTTCTCCAGACTAAACAACCCCAGCTCCCTCAGCTGCTCCTCACAAGACTTGTCCTCTATCTAGACCCTTCACCACCTTCATTGCCCTTCTCTGGACACACTCCAGCACCTCAAGGTGCTGAGTGAATGGTTCTCTTCCCTTCCCAGGGAGGAAAGCCTGAAGCAATATTCTCTCAAAATAGTGCTGGTAGTTCGTTATTCATAGATAGAAGGAAAAAATTATTCACTGAAAAGGTTGTCAGCATCAAGCATCGGAACAGGCTGCCCAGAGAAGTGGTTGAGTCACCATCTCTGGAGGTATTTAAAAGCCATGTAGGTGTGGTGCTGAGGGACATGGTTTAGCAGTAACTTGGCAATGCTGGGTCGATGGTTGGACTTCATGATCTTAAAGGTCTCTTCCCGCCATAATGATTCTATGCTACGATTCTGTGATGCTCTCACAGCTTCTGAGAGTATGGGGAAAACATTGTGACCTGAATGACTACCCATATGAATGACTACCTGAACCATTGCCCATAGCAGGGCTGCTGAACTGGTGGGCTCTAGTCTGGATGTCCACCCAGCTTGGGGAGCAAGGTGGCAAATGGATGTGTGTTACAGATGAAATATTTGGTATGGTTACAATTTAGATGCAATTCAAGATTTAATAATGGTTTAAGGAGGATCAAAAGGTTGAATTTCACAGCACTTAATCATTAACCAACTTAAGGATTAACAAGGTGATTCAGTAGAATATGTTATAATTAAAACAGCAACTTAATTACAGATTCAAGAATGATAAGATTCACACTAACTTGCTACAAGGTATCCTGAATCAAAATGTATGTATGTACATATGTATAAACACAAAACATACAAACACACACCATTCAAGGAGTAACACACCCCCCACCCGAGTCTTTAACTGGTAGGACTGGAGTCTCATCACAGCAGGCAACTCCAGTGAGCCAAAGGGTGTTCCTTTGGACTCCTTACACACACAGGTGGACAGAAACATTTGGTTCAGTGAAATACATAGACACCCACACCCGTGAGGGCAAATGTGTATGTTCAAACACATAGGTAGGTAGAGAGGTGGATGGAAGAAGCTGGACTCTAGTTA